CCTAGCCTCATGCCTTAGTGAAGGCCTGACTGTCGACGAGGCCATTAGTTGCAGGAAGCTCTGAAAATGGACAGCCAGAATAAAGTGGCCTGGCAAAACGTGAAACTGTATCCTCAACTATAGGCAAAAGTTGTCTTGAATCAAGCCAATATGCCTTCTGCAACTTTGTTTTTCAACCCGAATTGTCGCATGGCTGTCCAGTCTGCCTTGCCTACCTTCATTATACCCTTTTCCTTGCTTCCCTTTGTCTTTCCTGCCTTGTCTTCTTGCGTTTTTCGCCTCGATTCTTGCCAACTCTGCGCTCAACCCTCGTCGGGACTACGCTCTGCTCTCCTGGGAGCCTTGCTCTGATCGTGCCTGTGTGGATTTTCAAAAATGCAACATCAGCTTCCGCAAGAGAAGAAAAGGACGGCTGGCCGACGAGTCTCTTTCGGGCCTTTCAGACATGCAGACATGGCGCTGGAATGAGACAAAGCATCACCATTTCCACCACCACCACCACCACAGCAGAAATACCACCAGGGCCAACAACTAGGGAAACAGCAATCAATTAAGGATGTCGGACAAGTGAGAGGGCTGGCCGAATTGGAGACAGCAGAAAGGGAAGTTGCGGTAAGGTGAGCCGAGGAGCACGTCTGCACGCAGAGTTGGAGACAGGCTGATATGTCTATGCATGTGTGTATGGATGTGGGTTAGTGCATGCGTGTGTGTGTGTGTGTGAGAGAGAGAGAGACCTAGAGAGAGTGGGAAAGAGTACATTAAAATGCAGACGACATTTGTGTTTTTTCGCCCAGTCTAAATGAGACAGCAGTGCTCTGGGATTGCATTTGGCCCGGCCGAAGAGTGTATTCGAGAGGGCAGAGGTGAGGGGTTGGGTGAGATTAGGGGAGAGTATTCTGAGATGGCATGGGAGGGAGGCTGGAACAGATAGTGCTGCGAGAGGGTGAGGGGGAACCTATAGGTCTGGGAGCACTTAGTCTATGCTGGAATGTGGAACGCGACGCTGTACATTGAGCAGTGAGATTCTATGTGTGTTTGTGTGTTTGTATGTGACCTTTTTCACTCTTTGGCCGAGTCTGAGGGTGAGTGGACCAAGTGCATGTGATGAAGCATCTGTTGGTGCCCTCTTCGTGGAGTTCCGGCCCGGAACACCGCTCCCGAGGGCCTAGGTATGAGGATATTCAACTGGGCAGGTATGAACTCTCCGAATCCGATGACCAAGAAAGTAAAGCATGATGTCCATCATATGATGGACGAAAACTCAACACATGTTCACCCGAAACGAGGGAGGGTGCCTCGTTGACGTTTGCCGGAGAACAACAGGAATCATTACTTGTCTTCCGATGAAATCAATCGGCGTAACTCTTCATCTTGCATCTTCAGATGAGGTGAAAGTCTTCACAGCATTCGTGTAAAGTGTGTATCAAAATAATCAGT